TTATCTTATAAAACCAGTGGAACTTCAAAATCGTTAAAATTCATGGCTCCCGCCGCATTGCACGGGTACACAACTAGTATATATATATATATATATATATATATATATATATATATATATAATATCATTAAAAGAAAATAATAACATTAAAATTTAAAAGACTTTTATCCACTTTACCTTAGTAATCCAAATAAAGTTCACGAAAAAGTCTAGTTTATTTGTTTGAAATCGTGATTTCAGTTATATGATGTTTGAATTTATGTTTAGTTTTATATTGTAATCTAATACATTGTTTGTAATGGTTCGATTATATTTGAGACATTTAAACTTACATCTTTAAAAAAATTGTAATTTTTAATTGTGAAAATTAGCATATTGTAATTTTTTTCCAGATTGGGTTCAGGTTTCGATTTCGGGATCATGTTCGGTTAAAACCAATGGTGATTTTGAGAATTTTTACCCTTAATAGGTTCCCCAACAGGGATAAGGGAAACTGCGGGGACCCGATGGGGATCCCCGATAAGATCCCCAACGGGGATCGGGGCGGTTACGAGGACGATTTTAGCTATCGGTTTCGGAGACGGAGATACCAATACCCAGCCCGTTGCCATTCCTAAATTTCTCAGGTTCTTTTTAGTTTTAGTAAATTTAATGATTTATTTATTCGATTTTAAAAAGTTTAAAAATATATTTTTTCAAAAAAATTTAAGGACTTAACCACTTAAAATATAAAAATTTATTTTGACTTTTAGGGGTCGTTTACCAAACACTTACCTGGGTAAGCGCTTATCAAGTCATATTATCTTACCGAATGAATACGGTGAGTACCAAGAATCTTACCCGGTAAGAGCAGGACAAGGACCAAAAATCTTACCCGTTAAATGAGAGCGATGACTCTTACCACGGTAAGCGCTTACCGGATAAATTGTTGCATACAATACCGTTTTGGTGGACTAAAACCTTACCGAGTAAGTAAATGATAGTTTAATTTTACCAGTAAACACTTACCGGGTAAATGTTTGATAAACAACCCCTTCTATTTTAAAAAAATTTATATTATCAAAAAATTGGGGAATATGAAACATAAATAATAGTTTTTTGTAATTTAATTCACACAATCTTGGTGATTTTAGTGAAATGCTTAGATCATTTTGTTTAATTAGATTCACAAGTGAATACGGATTGATAGTTGGGCTATAAAGGGGGTAAGGAGGTGCAAAATTCACACTCGTTTTGAGCTATTTTGAACCCGGGATCGTTAGATGGCACCTGTACAACACGAAGGAACAAACATTCCCGATATTAAAGACTATTCAACACATTTGCGCCAACTCCTCGAGTACTATGCGATAACATAGAGCTTGCAAGGATAGCGTAAAAGCGAAGCCCACTAGAAAGAAGTTAAAAAGCATTGGTTCTTAATGAACTCGAAGAAAACTTCTAGTGTTTGTAGAAATGATGGAACAGAATAATGATACCGAAAAGGCAATTGAATTTGGCGCCGGGACATGATGTTTCGCCATCATTCACACAGAAGCTTGTTTCCAGAACTCGATGGGCTTCCGATGCTGAAAAGAAAAAAGAACCAAACTCAAAACCGTCACCATGAATGGAACTCAAAAGAAGACATTTGGTTTGAATCCTTAGCATCAAGCATTGATCATATCTCAATGTGTGTGTGTGTGTGTGTCAATGACTGAAAAAACGGGGTCAAGGGGCACCAAAAACATGGATTTTACCTGGGAAATTGGCATCTTCGTTCTCACTGATTCGATCATTGAAAAGTCAATATCTGCAACAGCAATTCCTGTTGATACCCTATCTGAAAACGCGTAGTTTGAATATGTGAATTCGGTGTTCATGAAGTTGCAGCTCGAGAGAAGAACAAATGGAATCCTACTTCTCTGTTCCATAGTTAGAATTCACATTTTGAAAATTCAAACCGGCTACCTTTTTACATTTAAACCATTCTTAACGATATTCAGATACTTAGAATGACGATGAAGAGTTCTTACCTGGTAGACGACCAATCACGGTCCCCCAAGGATCAATTATTAATGTATCACCAAAACTCTCTCTCTTCTCACTATGTTTTCCTGCTTGTGCAGCAGCTATAACCTGATTTGACATCAAAATTTTAGCTACTTTCCCACTTCTGTTTGACAGCATAAATCCAAACAAACGAAACGGATGAAAAGATTTAGTCATCTAACTAAAAGGGTAGTCATTGGCCCAGCGATACCGGGATTACTGGCACAGCCCAGACTCCTAAGAGGTTAGTGGTTCAAACCCCACCAAAGGTGAGGAGTGTGAGCGAGTATTTTCCATGTATAAATATTATATACTTCAGAAAAAGAAAAAAAGAAGATTTAGTCATCTAAGTACTGCAAAGGAAAACAATAAAATACGCAATTGATAGGAGATGACAGTAATGCTGCATACGTAACATTGAGTCTCTATGGCACGAGCACGAAGAAGGATCTCCCAGTGTGCCTCACCAGTTACTTTTGTGAATGCAGCAGGAACTAACAAAACCTGCATTTTGGATTAGAAGTATGTAAATAATCGTTGGTTAAAATGTAAACACTAAAAGCTATTGTACAGATTGAGAAATTGCTTGAACCTCTGCACCATGGTGGAACCGTAGCTGTTGATAAAGCTCAGGGAACCTCAAATCATAGCATACGGTCAGACCCAAACGTCCAAAGGGACTATCCATGGCAACTATCTCCTTCCCTGCAAAACTTTTAGTTTGAATTAAACATGACGAGTAGCACATTTACATTTCTATAAGGTCAGAAACAACAGCTTTTTAGTAAAATCCTATCCAAAAGAATTGCGGTATGTTCAAAATATACTCCCTCGGTCCTAAAGTAAATGCAAAATTTCCTTTTCTTTTTGATAAATCTAAAGATGAGTACAACTTCCTTGTTTCTTTTGGTCAAGTTTCACCTCAAAGTTCCCAATTTGTGCTAAATTATCATTACATGAATAGCAATAGCGTTGATTTTGGTTAACAAGATTTCTCTATTTAGTCATTATTCACATGAATTCAGATATTCCAACTAACAATTAAACATCTTTTATCAACTATGTGCCAAGTCTTGCATTGCATTCATCATGGGACATAGAGAGTAATTATTAAGAAATGATAAATAAAGGCAAAACGGAAAGGGTACCCATTAACACTGCAATTTTCATTGGAAGGAAAACTATATAGCACGGCGTGAACATGTAAAGGTTATCTAAGAAAAAGTCATGTGGAACTTATTTATTCGTCATATAAAAGGGTATCAAGTAAAAGTAACAAGTTGCATGCCTGCGTCTGTAAAACTGCTCTCCTTAAAGACTGCACCTCCAGGAACATTCACATCAAACCTACAAAAATCAAAAGAAAATCCCTAATTTTGTGCAGTGAATGCTAACCATTTACTCCCCTAAACAAAACATATCACTTGCAAATGTCAAACAAACTCACATATGCATCTTCCGGTAGGTGCTTCTAATATTTCCAGCATCATCAATCAAAACATGAGTATTACATAAGTGTGCATCATCGGACCCTCTTTCTTGGAATCCTCCAAGCGACAGCCACATGTTTGACTCCCTGTATTTTGTCAAAATAGAAACCTAATCTTCTAAACATTTGTGCATGGGATCTCAAAGACGCTAAATGTTGTCAGGATCAAAGCACTACAACTTATGAGTGCCGGATAATAATCAAATCAAATTGGTCCCTCTCTCCAAAGCTTACCTTGCAAGAGCACAATACCCTTTCATAATTGGTCCATCTAGAGGTTCGGCGATTTTAAGGCTATCCCCGTCCTTTGCACCAACAAATGAGAAGTTTTCAGGAAAGCAAAGAAGTTTTGCCCCAGCTGAGGCTGCTTCCTACAAACAACATTTATAACCAAAGAAGTAGAAGTTGAGAAGACCTGCATGTCATACTCCACCCAAAAAAAACGGTGCACTTCAAGTTTTGGTCAACCAGACTACTTTTCGTTAGGATTTAGCTATGTTGTTGAAAACGGTGCAATAGCAGTTATTGGTCCCACATAAAAATGCGGTGGTAAAATATTGGTGGTAAATTGCGGTTCCGAGAAGAGCGGTGCAATTTGCCGCTATTTCACCGATATTTAACATAAAATAGCGATCACCGCTATTTGCAGTTGGGCCTTCTTTTATCTGATGCTTACATTTTGGTCCTGTTTTTATTTTAACTTGTGCTATTCTAATAGTTTAAAACTTTAAATCATGTAATCCAACAAATACCATTCTTTAAAGATCAAAGAATTAGATTAGACTTTATTAGGTTTTCAATTTTCTTTCAACATCATCGTCCTCCTCAGTCCTCACTCGACCTCGATACTCCCAGGCCCCAGCCATTAATTTTGTTTACTTAAATAAATCATAAAAAACAGATAGTTAATATTAGTTAAAATAATGGAGATCTCTAAATCAAATTATTCATTATATCATTTTTCCTCCTCGACAGTCGAGAGCCTCCTCCGTCTTCTTCTTCACAGCCACTTCACAACCACAAGTCTTAAGTTGATGTTTTGATGTTTTGATGTTGAAACTATATTTTGAATTAATGCATATAGTATGTTAAGTTATGTATGCATACATATATATTATATATAATTCTAATAATTATTATATGAACCGCTATTTTTTGACCGCTATACCACGGCAATAACCGTTATTTCAAATCTCAGTCTTGACTGCTATTTTATAATTTGACCACTGTAGTATAGGGATTTAGTCACAAACATAGTATTATGTACATGATAATAATTACAGAAAATGAAAAATCAAAGACATACCGTTGACGTCATTCAACAATTTTCCTATTTCCAAGATTGTTGCATGGATTCTGTTATACTCGTGCATTTTTTAAGTACATAAAATGTATACAAGGCAAATGAAACTCACATACATACCTCACCTTTGGTGTGGTTGGAACCTTGACCTCTAACAAAGTTGGGTTGTCGGATACAGCTGGGCCGAATACCCTTTGGTTACTCATGCATTATTGTAAGAGATGAATGGCACCATTTCTAAGAAAAGTTTGGACAAAAAATGAATAAATAGGAAACCTATCTGCAATGAATCAAACAGAGGGAGAAGGAAGTTGAATGTCTCCTCTTACCCAACACTATTTATACTCAGGTCCGTAACAACTTATTCCTAAGTTACCCTTTTTTCCAACAATTTCCTAACCGGTGAATCATATCCCTTTGCTTGTGGTCCCCTCCTGGCCAGATTCGCGATGCACCTTCCACTAAGTTGCTAGTTAGTATATTTTAGTTTTATTAAGGTGTACCTTTCAGTTTGGTTGTAGATTGTTCGTTCATGTATTCTCCTTGTGTAACCATCATTTTTTTGTTGCTTGCTTGATTTTTATTGTCCCCATCTTTCTTTTCACTAACTTTTGTTTGAGGACAAGCAAAATCTAGGTCTGGAGTTGTTGATAACTTCGTTATTTGCCGGTTTTACCCTCCGAATCATAAGTTTACAGCTTGTTCCCAAGAAAATATTAGTATTTCGGAAGTGAAATTTTGTTGAAAGTGGTGTAGGCATACAAAATGACAAATAGAAGGAAAACATCTATTTATACACCATATTGATCTCCAATTGAAGGTGTGAACCAAGTGAATCAGTCAAGAAAATCAGAATCTGAGCCTATGTGTGTCGCGCGATCCTAGCAAATGGCAAGATCGTGTATGTGGCTCGCGAAATGTATATCGGATGTGGCCAGAGCCTATCTAATGGGTATTATGCAATGTGTGCTTGTGTCGAGATCACCTACATGGATTGCGAATCGAGCGAAGAATGTTCTGAAGTCTACATGGTCTACCCTTTTGTTGTCTCATTCGCATCCAAGTGAAGAAAAGAAGCAAGCAAGGTGTGTTACACGATCTTGGATTGCATATGTCATCTTGTATAACAAGAAGCTAAGACACTGATTTAGGGTTATCTTGGAATTTTGGAGGCGAAGCATTTTCCATTATATTCTCAAGGATTTTGAAGCACCGGAGGTGGTGTGAGCATTTATTGAAGAGGTGGAGCACTTATTGAAGCTTCAAGTTGGTGGTCGGACGTTATTAATTGATGGAGAATTCCTTTTCTTGTATTTGTTGAAAAACCATACCAGGTTAGTGTTTTCCTTGTTTATTTGATGTTCTCTACTATTATCATTTGGTGTCATATACTATTATCATGAGCTAAAACACTTCGACGTGGGGGGAATGATGAATTTTGTATTGATATCAATGAATATATGATTTTTACCATTTCTTAACATAAAATATTGCTGGTTGAGTTCTTATATCTTGTTCTTAATGCTTTGCATGATTAATCATCTTGCTTTGATGTTTTGGGTGTATTTCCTCTTGAGAAGTTGGTTGTATAACTAGATAATAGGTACTTGAACCAACAGTGAGACATTGGATAGAGATATACCACGTACACCCGAGTCATGTGTTATGCAAATCTTATGCTTGACGAGTTGAATGTTTGTGTTTGTTAGTTGAGATATTTTAACAAATATTTCATTATACACTCTTGCCATCGCTTGAGAGAGTAGTGAGTATTTAAGGATTTATCATTTTCATCCTTAGGTTTTGGCTAATAGATTTGTGATAATTTGTATATATGATGAAATCCAAATGAGATCTAACCCATAACTCTATTCCTTATAAGTAAATCTTCGAGGTGCTTTAATTCGTAGTTGATTGCAATTGCTTGCTTCCATTAGCAGTGATATTTAGGGTTATAATTACAATCACATCATTTTACCATCCATCCGTTTAGAACTTGGGGTGACCTTTGTGGTAATTAATCTAATAGTTCCTTGGATCGATACTCATACTTGTTACATCTAACTTGATTGGCACCAGTTGCAATGAATTTAACGTGTTGCATAAATTCCCTATCACCGCATGATCCCTCCCTTCCATTTCCACGTCATCTTTGCCCACGGAATAAAAGAGTCGGTGTTGATTCCCTGCTCCAGTTCGGTCTTCTGCATAGTCCAAGAAGATTGCTCTCAACTCCCTTTCCGATGAAAACTCCCTAGACAAGGCATCCACCACTCGATTAGCAACCAAGCTTGTAATGAATCTCAAAATCAAACCCTAAGAGTTCGCTTTACTATTTTTGGTAATCCGTTCCTACTTCTTGTTGCTCGTTAAGTACTTGAGACTTTGTTGGTCTGTGTGAATAACAAGGTGGTGTCCCAGTAGATAATGCCGCCATTTTTGCACCTCAAAAACTATGGCCAACGTTGTAAATGGGCTTTAAACTAAAAGGCAATAAGGTGGCCATTTTGGAGCAAAACAGAGGTGCTCCAGATGCATCAGTCTCCACTATTAATGGATGTGTAAAATCCCGTATCGCTAAAATGGGGGATCTGGTCATGGCAATTTTGAGTTACTGGAATGACTTGCTTGAAGGCCTCAATGGCGAGTTCAAACCACCTAAAACACACTTTTTTAGTTGGTCAATTAATTCGAGAAGCCACCTTAGCAATACCTGGTGATGAAGTTCCTGTAATATCCGGCCAAGCCTTAAAAACTGTGTAAGTCCCTTAAATTTTTCGAAATTGGCCCATCAACCATAGCTTTGATCTTATCTGAATCAATCATCACTCTCGTAGTTTAGATGACATGGCCAGGGTAGGCAACTTCTGCTTTCCCTATATCACATTTGCTCGGGTTGGCATTAAATTGATATCAGACCACTAGCTCTAGCACCATTGCCAAGTGTTTTGCTTGGTGCTTTTGTTCGTTTCTATTGTATAATATGATATCATAAAATAAAAAAACAGGCACAAATTTGTGAATATGAGGTTGTTGTGAATATGAGGTTGGGATACGTCGTTCATCACAGATTAAGTTGTGGTAGGGATAAGCAGTGGTCGGGAAGTTGGTAGGTCAAACAACACGACTACGAATTCGTAGTGGCCCTTGTGGGTTCAAAATGTTGTCTTTGCAACATCCTTATCTTTAACTCGAATTTGATGGTATCCCGATTTGATATCAAGCTTAAGAAATACAACCGCCCCATGCAATTCTGAAGATTTTCTGGAGCTGTCGATAATTGCATCAAAGATCTCGAGGATCCTGTCAACTAAGGGTGTTATCCCTCATTTCCAGCTTTCTGTGTTTAGAGATTTTCTCTATCCTTTCTTTAGTTGAAATGATTCTCCTTATCCTTTATTTAGTTGAAAGGATTCTCCTTCTTTTGTATAAATAGTCATGCTTTGTGTTTTATAATAAACAGGAAAATATATGAAAAGCCTTTGGGGATCAACTCTGTTTGGTTTCTAGATGGTATCAGAACGTGGTTTCTGATCATCACCTTCTTGGAAAACCTTTCCTTTAATTTCGGTACATACCAACCAGACCAAATTGCTCTGGTTAGCGAGTCCACCAACTCCACCACCGACCAAAACAAATCCAACAACCCTCCTCCACAAGTTCAACAAATGGTTGTCACAAGCTAAACGGCCAAAATTTCAACTTGTGGACACATTCCATCCAGATCTTCATTGGCGGCAAGGGAAAAGAAGACTCTCTCGGGGAAAAGCGTGTCACCTGAAGGAGACCCCACTTACAAACAATGGAAAACCGAGAACAACCTTGTAATGTCATGGCTTCTCAGCTCTATGACGGCTGAAATTGGAGAGCAATTCATCTACTACAAAACCGCCGCTGAAATCTGGGAAGCAGCAAGGGACACCTTTTCTAATAAAGATAATGCCTCTGTTATCTTTGAAATCAAGGGGTTACTCCATGATCTCCGGCAAGGAGACTCCATAGTTACGAGTTATTACACAGCCCTAACTCGTTTATGGCAACAACTTGATACTCTCGATGAAAATATGT